ATCTTTTATTAAAATGGGACATAAGGGAAGACAATGGTGTTCATATTGAAGAAATTCTAACATTCTTATTGTTACAGCAGTTATCATGTAAAGGGCACCAACTTAACACTGTCAAAAAAGTACTACTTGGGCTATCTATACTGAACAAAAATATAAACGCAACATGTAAAGTGTTGGTCCCACGTTTCATGAGCTGAAATAAAAGATGCCCGATTTTTTTCATGCGCACAAAAATATTATTTCTCTCAAAATGTGTGCACAAATTTGTTTACATCCCTGTTAGTGAGCATTTCTCCTTCGCCAAGATAATCCATCCACCTGAAAGGTGAGGCATATCAAGAAGCTGATTTAACAGGATGATCATTACACAGGTGCACCTTGTGCTGGCAACAATAAAAGGCCACTCTAAAATGTGCAGTTTTGTCACACAACACAATGCCATAGATGTCTCAAGTTGAGGGAGCATGCAATTGGCATGCTGACTACAGGACTGTCCAACAGAGCTGTTGCCAGAGAATGTAATGTTCTGAGAAGTATTTCTATCTGCAATAAAGCCTATGCCCTACCAGGCCCACCCATGGCTGTGCCCCTGCCCAGTCATGTGAAATCCATAGATTAGGGCCTAATTTATTTATTTCAATTGACTGACTTCCTTCTATGACCTGTAACTCAGTAAAATCTTTGAAATTGTTGCATTAATATTTTTGTTCAGCATAAATAAATAAAAAAGCACTTTACTATGGGATGCATGCCATCATGCATTGGTCTGGTTTGATATAAAATCATCTGAGAAAAATACCCTCAGACAATTAGTGTGAATCGACACCGAGAGGTTAATTTAGGAGCAGGGTTCTGAACCTGTGCAATTTCAGATTTTAGGTTTCCTTCCTTTCATTTTCAAATGTGTCCTGAATGCCCGGTTTTGGGAATTTTCTATTCTCCTATTCTATTCTGACTTTCTTGCTTTTATTTGATTGTTAGTTATCAAAGATTGTCTTATTTAAAAAAAAAAATATATATATATAGTTCAATATCTTTTCTGCATGCTTTCCATCTGGTTTTGGTCATTTAAGTTGACACAAACTGTTCTTCAATCCCAAAAATGACCACTTAGACAGCCCGCCTAAGAAATTTCTATACAGAAAAAAACAGTAATTAGGTCCAATGAATAATATCCTCCATATTAAAGGGATAGTTCGAGATTTTGACAATGAAACCCTTTATCTAATTCCCCAGAGTAGGATGAACAGGAACAGCTATCATGCCAACTGTTCCCGAAGACTTCCAGTCATTACGCTAACGTTAGTTAGCAATGGCTTGTGAAACTACCTCCAACTTCCTTCATACTGGACGCAGAGACACAAAAATGGTATCCACGATGGTATAAAATAATTATTAAAATACATTTTTCACATACCCCCAGCTAAGAATAATTCAGGTACCCCGTAGTACCTCCGCGGACCACAGTTTGAAGAAAAATTTTGTAAACCGTCCCCCAAAATATATGAGACGCTAGCTAGCTACAGTACCCATGTATTTCGGATACATTGCTGCCAGACTTGTTTGTTGTAAAAATCACATGTTCAACGACGTCCAAATAAGCACCAGTGAGTGTTAAGTATGACCAGAGATTTTGGCTTAATGTCTGACTGACTGACTCACGATACAGGTAGCCAGCTAGTTAGCCACCCAAGCTTCCATGCTAACTGACCTATCAGCTAACTTTTCCCCTAAGTCAAGGTCGGCAAACGACTTAATTCTGTCAACTAACGTTAACATTTTAATAACAAACTGTCGACGGTACGGAAACTTTCAATGGGGTGTCACCATGGATAGCTAGCAAGTTAGCTGGCATTGGCTAACGTACAATGTTAACTAGAGTTTTCCGTTGCAAACTAGTCTAACTACCACTTGCTCGATATTACTGGCCATCTATCTTTCATATACACACGATAAATAGCTAAATTACAATGCAAAGGAATTGTTACCATAACAGCTAACTAGTAGCTACATAACAATAAAGATTTTAGTTAACATTTTGTTTAATCCACTTACCTCTTGTCTTCTTTTTAGGCCCAAACCATTCTAGCTATTGGAAAGCCCTTTCTCTTTGTCTTTTCCACTTTCCAGTTAAAAAAATGGACCCGACAGAAATTTTACAATAATACTTAAAATACTTAAAACATATGAAAAGACTACATCCTCTCTATCAAGTATAGCTGTGATGCCAGCAGAAAATTATTCGTCATTATTTTCTCTATCCATTTTTACAACAAAGCTAGCAAGGTGGCTAGCTAAGCAGAGATGAGTGGATGCATGCAAGCAGCTGTGATGACTTCGGTTCCCTAAACTTGATCACGTGATTACGGCGTATTCTTACATTTACATGAATCCTACAGTATCTTGGAAAGTAATATTTTGTTGTGTATTTAATACATAGATTAATGAGACATTTTGCAATACACTTTTTAAAAGGTAGATACGTTTCTGAACGCGTTCAAGGAATTTCATCATTTGACCCAAGTCATAAACTTCATTATGCTGAAGCCTGTTTTTCTGACTTTTTGGCCCCCACTGCTGATAAATTGCAGGGCCCAGTTTTTCAAACGTTATCCAGATTTCACCTATCAGATAGATTTAAATACATAGAAATAGAACAGAACTCATTTACATAAGTATTCAGACCCTTTACTCAGTATTTTGTTGAAGCACCTTTGGCAGCGATTACAGCCACAAGTCTTCTTGAGTATGACGCTACAAGCTTGGCACACCTGTACCAGCTTCTCCCATTCTTCTCTGCAAGTTCTGTCAAGTTGGATGGGGAGCATCGCTGCACAGCTATTTTCAGGTCTCTCCACAGATGTTCGATCGGGTTCAAGTCCGGGTCTCTGGCTGGGCCACTCAAGGACATTGAGACTTGTCCCGAAACCACTCCAACATTGTCTTGGCTGTGTGCTTAGGGTCGTTGTCCTGTTGGAAGGTGAACCTTCACCCCAGTCTGAGGTCCTGAGCAGGATTTCATCAAAGATCGCTCGGTGGTGGCAGCATGCTCCGTTTAGCTTTCCCTCGATCCTGACTAGTCTCCCAGTCCCTGCCGCTGAAAAATATCCCCACAGCATGCTGCCACCACCATGCTTCACCGTAGGGATGTTGCCAGGTTCCCTCCAGACGTGACGCTTGGCATCCAGGCCAAAGACTTCAATCTTGGTTTCATCAGACCAGAGAATCTTGTTTCTCATGGTCTGAGAGTCCTTTAGGTGCCTTTTGGCAAACTCCAAGCCTTTTACTGCGGAGTGGCTTCCGTCTGGCCATTCTACCAAAAAGGCCTGATTGGTGGAGTGTTGCAGAGATGGGAGAACCTTCCAGAAGGACAACCATCTCCACAGAGGATCTCTGGAGCTCTATCAGAGTGACCATCGGGTTCTTGGTCACCTCCCTGACCAAGGCCCTTCTCCCCCAATTGCTCAGTTAGGCCAGGCGGCCAGCTCTAGGAAGAGTCTTGGTGGTTTCAAACTTCTTCCATTTAAGAATGATGGAGGCCACTGTGTCTTGAGGACCTTCAATGCTGCAAATGTTTTGGTACCCGTCCCCAGATCTGTGCCGCGACACAATCCTGTCTCGGCGCTCTACGGCCAATTCCTTCCGACCTCATGGCTTGGTTTTTGCGCAGACATGCACTGTCAACTGTGGGACCTTATATAGACAGGTGTGTGCCTTTCCAAATCATGTCCAATCAATTGAATTTACCAAAGGTGGACTCCAATCAAGTTGTAGAAACATCTCAAGGATGATCAATGGAAACAGGATGCAACTGAGCTCAATTTTGAGTCTCATAGCAAAGGGTCTGAATACTTATGTAAATAAGGTATTTCTGTTATTTATTTCGTTTAAATGTGCAACAATTTAAAAAAAAAAAAAAAAAACTTTTTTCACTTTGTCCTTATGGGGTATTGTGTGTAGATTGATGAGGAAAAACAATTATTTCATCAATTTTAGAATAAGGCTGTAACGTTACAAAATGTCTATGAAGTAAAGCGTCTGAATACTTTCCGAATGCACTGTAATATATCGAATTTGGGGGTAGCTTCAACTGGGACTCGAACTCAGGCCCATCGACTGTCAACCCAACACCTTAGTCTTTATGCCAAGAGATCCATTTACTACCCTCTACACTACCTGGCCCTTCCATCGGGAAGCACAACACTTCTCTATATCAAGCACCACGCCCAGGCACACCTTCGATGGCCTCACAGTAGTTCCACCCCAAAACACCAATGCATACAATTTGCTACACTTTCAAGGTACTCAATTACTATAAATGGTTGACTTTGTTCCATCTGGACAGAAAAAAATGAACAACACCAACAAGTAAATACACTTGCAACTGCCTTTTTATCCTTAAATTATTCAATGCTGGGACACTAGGTAAAAACATTAATAAAATAAAAGCATGACCAACTTACGGGTGGCAGGGGGATACATTCGCATGATCACACTTGGGCTGTGCCTAACAAAACAGAGACCATACAAATGTCCTTAAAATGGCAGTTTAGCAACAGTCAATTACATTTTATCATATCAAAAGAATGCCAAAATCAATAAGAGGGTTCACAATTCACACTACAACTAAAGCCGAGCTATACTGGGCTGGTAACGTTTCTGAAATCGTACTGGAAAGAATACAAAAATAAAAATAAATAGGTAAATGTGTCCACAGCTGCAGGCCCCCCCCAAATGATTTATTACATATCTTTCAGTAGCAAAAGTCATAACAGTAGATACGTAGCTGTACATGTATGGAGTCACTCAAAAACAATAGAAGAAAGTGAGGAACTACAGCAAGTATGTAAAATGCACATACATTTCAAAATTTTAATCTAGAGGAATTTCCTAACTTGTTATTCGAGACCAAGTTGAGATATGACCACATATTTTCACTGACTGTACAGGGGGGAAATGCAGGGGAGAGAAAACACCTTCTGACAAATACAAAATGCCTCACTGCAGAGTCAGAGTTTAGCTCAGGTTAATGTCTCGGTGGAACACAATACAGCTCAATCTTCTTCACTTCTTCTTCTTTTTCTTCTTGGGAGGACCTTGATCCGATTCACTGCCTTTAGATGAATCGGAACCCGAGCTGCTAGAGGAAGAGGAGCTAGAGCTGTCATCACTGTCACTGTCGTCTGACGAAGAGCTTGAGGAGTCACTACTGTCAGACGATGAGTCACTAGAAGAGCTGTCAGAATCGCTGCTGCTACTACTACTTGAATCCTTTGACCTGAAAGCAAGTAGCACAATATACAGAACCATTATTACATAAGCAGAATAGTGAGTACATGGCAGAAGACATAGTGCAGGCAAGGTCAGGCACAGCCTAGATCAAAGTGGACTTTGCTCTACCCATTTAAGTTATATCTGCAACCATCAATGTTGGAAGCATTTTATGGGGTTAGAGCTGAAAAGTAACCTGTGACAGTTACCTTTTCTTCTTAATTTTTTTTTCACTGGAGTCTTCCTTTCCTGGTCTGAATACAGATAGAAATAGTAACATGTCATGGCAGAGAAAATTCCAAAGATTATTCAAAACCAACCAGGGAAAATTAAAAGTGAAAAGAAACTTGGCAACACATTAATATCACTTTACAGAGGATATGGCCTCCCATTGACGAGTTCTACTGTAAAACCCCTTGATGGCAGTACTAGACAATTATGAGGTTGGATTACAGTGCTAGCCTCATGAATTGCAGACCGATTACCACTGTAAGCTTGCGAGATCAGGGTGGCTCGCGAGGCTATTGCAGTACATGGTACCTCCCATCATCATCATCATCATCATCATCATCATCATCACCACCACCACCACCACCACCACCACCACCACCCTCCTCCTCCTCCTCCTCCTCCTCCTCCTCCTCCTCCTCCTCCATTGGACATGACCCAGGTGACTTTCCAGAGTGTTTAAAACATCTTCAGAACAGAAATGTGATCCACTGTCAAGGTGACATCGCTATATAAAGTGCTCATCCAAAACAAATAAATACTTTATGGTTGACTTACCCTGTGGTGTTACCCTGTTTATTTTCATTTTCTTTAAGTTTCTTTTTCATTTCTGTTGTCCTTGATGGCCTGTGAAGGTATTTTCGTTTACCAATGCACTCATATGTCCAGTGTCCAAACTCCAAACACTTCTGACACCGAACATGTTGTTTATTTGCCTCCCTGTATGAAAATCAAATCACATTTCGTACACAGTTTAGCAATGTTGTACCTGTGTACAGCAAAATGCTTTTTTACTTGCTCCTAACAACGCAGATGAGCAGGGACCCTGGGCATCTTTCTTTTGGTGTTTTTCAGAGTCAGTAGAAAGGCCTCTTTAGTGTCCTAAGTTTTCATAACTGTGACCTTAATTGCCTACCGTCTGTAAGCTGTCTTAACGACCGTTCCACAGGTGCATGTTCATTAATTGTTTATGGTTCATTGAACAAGCATGGGAAACAGTGTTTAAACCCTTTACAATGAAGATCTGTGAAGTTATTTGGATTTTTACAAATTATCTTTGAAAGACAGGGTCCTGAAAAAGGGAAGTTTCTTTTTTGTACAACAGTAGAGTGGGCTATGTCAAGAATCCAGTGTAATAAAATGCAATGTACAGTAATATAAATATTAGAAAGAGCTATGTCGAGAATACATGATTTAACTACAAAGTACAAAACCCCATTGCAAAATGGATAGAATTGCAGGAAATATAAACTGAAGGGGAGAAAAGACATTGACATGAGTATAAGTTATCAATACTGAAATAGTTGGATAGTCCCCGCTGTTTCTTGGGCAACTGGTTACCCTGGTCGTATTGGGGTAAGTGCACAGGATACTTTTTCTGAACAGAGTAGCCTCCCTGACTGTATCTGAGTGTCTACAGCCTGTGAAGAGATCTTGAGACCAATGTGACACCGGTAGTTGCTGGCTCTGTTCCCCAGACGCAGTGTGTTGCACTTGAATAGTAAGTTAGCTAGCTAATTACCTAGCTGGCTAGCGCTAGCTAACTTATGTAGCGGCTATAAAACATGCAGACAGGAGGAAATGCATGCTTGTTAGCCAAATAAATGTATACTATTTATGAAATGTAACTATTTTGTTTGTTAACTTGGTACATCATTATTGCCCACATCATCACAAACAAAATGAACAACTTTGTAGGTAGCTAGCTAGCGTTAAGTCAGGACAGTATTGTTAGCTAGCTAACTATTCGGAACTCAGTCTTAACACGGTTATCACTAACTACGCTGAATCAAGTAAGTATACCAAAAGACCTCAGCATGTTTGTAATAACCAAACTTACGCTTGCCGACGAGCAATAACTCTGTGCATGGGTGTCGCCATTTTGCAGTTTATCCAAAGATAACTAACCCAAGATAAACCACAGCCTGTCGTTTCCAATGGAAGCAAATGAATCATAGTGGGCAGAACAATCGAGGAGGGCAGTCCAAGCACGAGCTAGCGAGATCCTATTTCCGTTAGGGAACGCCTACTCTGTGAAGTGCGCGTGTGCAATAACTCAATTCGACCTTGCGCTCCTAAATAACGCAACTTTTGACAAAGGGTAAAGTCTACAAAACTTAGTCCACTCTGTTCGTAACAGATTCTAGTTTTGGGAAAATAAAACTGTATTGAGATCAAATGTTTCATCAATGAGAAAATGTGCAGAATGTCGGCCAAAATCCATCTCGCTCCATCTTCTCCCTCTGGACTTTCTCTCATCACCATATTTAGTGGTAAGTGGAAACGCCAACCGGAAGCTTCAGATTTATACATCCGGTGAAAATCTGGCTCATTGTTTTATCAGTGGTTGAGCTACTTCATCTTCTTCAGTGGGGTTTAACAGTTGTTGGCATCCAATATTAACGTTGCATTACCGCCACCAACTGGACTGGAGTATAAATTCATTATACTTTGTGATACAAAAAGGGGAAAAGGAAAACAAAACAAAAACACATTTACCCTGTCATCTAATCCTACAGTCATCACAAACCCACTACCTCATTCTACTATTTGACCCTATCTGATCTTACACCAGGCCAACGGCCTGGGAGGATGTAGCCCAATATTGGACTAAAGGAACCTTAGTCCAAGGACCTTACATGTTCTGTTTAAATGGTAAATTGGCTCTGGAAGCCAAAACAGCCAAATACTCCATCTAAAGTGAATCTATTCTCAATTGAGGTACGGTTCTAAATCCCTCTATTTCATATCTCATCAAAATAATTTCACAAATGCAAATTACACACTTACTGTAGTGTTTTAACAGCCACAGTATTTTTCAGTGACAACACGTTTGTGGCGTCATAGCTAAGTAGATAGCTAATTAGCACAGGTAGTCTACTCTGTCTTCGGTCTGTTTTCCGTAAACAACCGCTGTAAAATGGAAATATGGCCCTGTGGGAAGCCTAACCCTATAAAGGTGTGTATCAATTTAACCTTTTGTTTTTTGAAAGGCTGCGGTGCGTTCTGTGTACCGCATGCACTCAATATTTTCAACTCATGCGTTGCTTTACTGTGCGGTGGTACAAAAGGAAGCTTTTAGCTAGTTGAAAAGCAAAGCACATGAGCGTCAAGTACGGAAAATGCGGGCTAGACATCCGGCAAAACAAAACGCATATCCATCTGGTGGACATCGGGCTTTAATGTTCAGAGTCGTGGCTCTTAACAAAACTGCACCCTTTGTCCAATGACTTATGTGTAAAGTAATGGAACCGAGTCATGAACAAGGACTATGGACGACAGAACACTACCACTCAACACATCCTGTAACTCTTCTGCAGTAAAATCTCGTATTCCAAAGTACTTCTCTGCAGCTCCTACCAGGGACGTCGCTAGACATTCAGAACATCCAGGGCTTAGCCGCGACCGAAATGAAGCGCCCCGCACTCTCTGCTCCGCTAGCAGTGAACATGTTGCAGAAACATAACGCATATCTCACTGCTTTCTTCCATGCGCTGTGCTCTCCTGACGCCAAATAATCAACACAATTTAATATTAATTCAATGGATTGTGGTCAGTAAACCCATGGAATATGGGTAATAATATTTATAAAAAAATCTATTAGTAAGTACAAATGACAAGTGCATAACTATATCGTAGTTTTCCAAGAAGGAAAATTGTGGCAGATCACTTTTGCAGATATGTACAAACGCAGGCACCAAACGCGCTTGAAAATCATGATTTTACAATATTTGTGGTAATAAATCACAGATTCCAAGGTCAATAATTCGACCTATTTAATGACCCAAAAACAAATACACCCCCGCCAACCGCCCCTGTAGTAACACTTCAGAATTGTACACATGTACATACAATCCTTTATCCAACTAAATAGTAACAATGTTTGCGAGTTATATTATTAAACAGTACTAGGATGTTAGTCCATCCATAAAGATTAGAAATGAAACAAAATGAAACTGTAGGTGAAAACCTGTCTATGACCTCACTCTTTCCCAAGCGTGTTAGTATGTATATCATGATGCATTCTATCTTGGGTCATTGGGCTCCTAAGCCAGGTACAGTGGCCTTTGGCATTTTTACTATTTTGTTGCCTTACAAACTGAAATTAAAATGGATTTGGGTGGTTGTATCATTTGATTTACACAACATGCCTACCACTTTGAAGATGCAAAATATTTTTTCTTGTGAAACACAAGAAATAAGACAAAAATACAGAACTTGAGTGTGCATAACTATTCACCCCCCCCCCCCCCCCCCCCCCCCCCCAAAAGTCAATACTTTGTAGAGCCACCTTTTGCAGCAATTACAGCTGCAAGTCCCTTGGGGTATGTCTCTATAAGTTTGGCACATCTAGCCAGTGGGATTTTTTCCCATTCTTCAAGGCAAAACTGCTCTAGCTCCTTCAAGTTGGATGGGTTCCACTGGTGTACAGCAATCTTTAAGTCATACCATAGATTCTCAATTGGATTGAGGTCAGGGCTTTGACTAGGCCATTCCAAGACATTTAAATGTTTCCCCTTAAACCACTCAAATGTTGCTTTAGCAGTATGCTTAGGGTCATTGTCCTGCTGGAAGGTGAACCTCCGTCCCAGTCTCAAATCTCTGGGAGACTGAAACAGGTTTCCCTCAAGAATTTCCCTGTATTTAGCGCCATCCATCATTCCTTCAATTCTGACCAGTTTCCCAGACCTTCCGATGGAAAAACATCCCCACAACATGATGCTGCCACCACCATGCTTCACTGTAGGGATGGTGTTCTCGGGGTGATGAGAGGTGTTGGGTTTGCGCCAGACATAGCGTTTTCCTTGATGGCCAAAAAGCTCAATTTTAGTCTCATCTGACCAGAGTACCTTCTTCCATATGTTTGGGGAGTCTCCCACATGGCTTTTGGTGAACACCAAACGTGTTTGCTTATTTTTTTCTTTAAGCAATGGCTTTTTTCTGGCCACTCTTCCATAAAGCCCAGCTCTGTGGAGTGTACGGCTTAAAGTGGTCCTATGGACAGATACTCCAATCTCCGATGTGGAGCTTTGCAGCTCCTTCAGGGTTATCTTTGGTCTCTTTGTTGCTTCTCTGATTAATGCCCTCCTTGCCTGGGCCGTGAGTTTTGGTGGGCAGCCCTCTCTTGGCAGGTTTGTTGTGGTGCCATATTCTTTCAATTTTTTAATAATGGATTTAATGGTGCTCCATGGGTTGTTTAAAGTTTCTGATATTTTTTTATAACCCAACCCTCTACTTCTCCACAACTTTGTCGCTGACCTGTTTGGAGTGCTCCTTGGTCTTCATGGTTCCACTTGCTTGGTGGTGCCCCTTGCTTAGTGGTGTTGCCGACTCTGGCGCCTTTCAGAACAGGTGTATATATACTGAGATCATGTGACACTTAGATTGCACACAGGTGGACTTTATTTAACTAATTATGTGACTTCTGAAGGTAATTGGTTGCACCAGATCTTATTTAGGGGCTTCAAAGCAAAGGGGGTGAATACATATGTACACACCACTTTTCCGTTATTTATGTTTATACTTTTTTTAAACAAGTTATTTTTTTCATTTCACTTCACCAATTTGGACTATTATGTGTATGTCCATTACATGAAATCCAAATAAAAATCAATTTAAATTACAGGTTGTAATGCAACAAAATAGGAAAAACGCCAAGGGGGATGAATACTTTTGCAAAGCACTATATGTAGACGTCTTAATGCACTGAAAGATCTCACAGCTGCTACCTGGGATGGTCAGCGAGGCCTGTATGATTGCCTTCAGTG